ATGGAGCAAAAAAAACTCTCATGACTTACCCAAATAGTCATCAAAAGAGAACTTGTCATTGTCCCAGATCTGGAAGATAAGCTGCGGTGGAATCTTGTTTGTTGTCTTGTCCAAGCTCCAGAAGTGTTCCTAAAATCACAGCAGAAAAAAAACCAGGTCAAAATAAAGGGCTTATTAGTAGAACTGGGCAGAGCCTGGCCACTCTCATCTCACAGCAGTGGAAGTCCTGTAACACAATGCTCTTTGTGTGTCCTGCTCCAGTTCTGCGGGGCCAGAGCCATATAGGAGGACCCTACTGGCTCTGGACAGTTCTTGGACAAGGATGCTCAGTGGAAAACCCAAGATGCTTCTGGAAGTTGGATTGATATCAATTTGTGCCTTAATTTAGTGACAACATTTTAGCAAACAGGCACCATGAGCTTGCAGATCGGATCTTTTGGAGTGACAGCACCATATTTGCATGATTTAGCCTGAGGGCGACTCTCCAAGGTGAAGGGAGCAACGAGTGTTGAGTGCCAGTGCTGCCAAACTTCACCTTCCTCTTAATTAATTGAAATATATAGGAATGACACTTAAATTGGCACTTACTGTAGGCAATTCAAATACATCCCCTTCCCTTCTGCTCACCTCTCCCCCCGGCTCTGCCAGCAGCCAGAGCCTGCACAAGTCTGGAGCCACCCCTGCTCTGATCTGCTGTCTGGTCTGTTGTAAGTAGTTTGCGTGCAGTTGGCCAGCTTGCGACCTGCAAACACCTCTACCACCTGTAGGTAACCTGTGGCTCCCAAGTTCTCTTACTAAAAATGAATATGTAAAGAAAGAGACTGGTGCTTTCACAGCAGCTCACTGTGTGGTGGGTTCCTCAATTCTCAAATGATGATGTTCATCCTTTCTGCATGTCTCCCAGGTTTTCATTCTCAGGACAGGTGAATGCTAGAGTTGGACATGGTATCCCAGCAAATCTGCTCCTAGTGTTACACTGGGCTGCTGCCAAGGTGCGTACATGCTTGTTATATATATTACACATCTAAGTTCAAGAAAGGAGACATTCAGAGGACCAGCAAGCCACGATGACTAATGTACAACGAATCGAGCTGTGACACCTGATTTCAGTCTTTGTAACGTGAGATCTGACACCATATGCCTCTCTCATTTCTCTTAGGTGGGCAATTTTTTGTCTACTCCCTGCCACTGATGCTGTGACAACCTGGGGAAAGGTTTTGCAGCAGTCCCAGAAGCCTATTTGCAAAGAACCGGAATGAAAATTACACCGTGAGCATCCCCTGGGATTATCACCTTTTACCAAGTCCTTGAGCAGTGCAGGAGCTACCACCCACCAGTTCTGCAACCCAACAGTAATAACGGGTAGCCACCGCCTGGGAGACAGCAGCCGTGTGGGAGCTCAGCAGCAGGACGAGGCAGGGCTTTCTGCTTTCTGGAGAGGAGGTGATCTACAAAACGCTCACCATTGAGAAGATTGCAACTGCGGTGGCCCGGTTAACTGCAGTAGATAGGTCAACAGCAAGGCAGATGGTCTGCCTTCTGGATAGTCAGACCAACACTCCCCAAAAAGCCAGTGGTGGGGGGAACATTAAAATTAGACTTCTCTGACAAGCAGGGTTTGAATCCCGTTGCTGTGACAATGTGCCTGCGGTCACATCATTATAATATATGGTGGATACGTGCCCATGCCACAAAATTTGCTATTTATGTGGTTACAACTGGTAATATTTCCCCACAGGGCTCTAACACCACTTTTGGGATGCCACAAGGTGCCTGAAAGTTAGGACTAAGAAGTGTTAGGACAGACAGAGAGAGGCAGAGACGCACAAAAAGCCAAGGTCTTGTTATTCCTGGCTCCAGCCAACACTTGCAAAGAGGAGGCAGAGTCACGACTGGTGTCTACTGACAGCACAGGCTCAGAGGTGCGTCGTGCGGGCAATGCCTCCTGCCGCACTCTTGCGACATGGCAGTATCATAAATGGAACCGATTTCATTAAAACCAGGAAACTTCAGCATTATTCATGACACATACGTAGCACCATAAATTCACTGCGGCGGCTACAAGAGTCTGATTCATTATGTCGTGCAATACTAAAAAAAAGGTGGAAAAAAAAAAAGAATGTGTCACACTCCATAAGAACATAAATATTCAAGCAGGGAGACTGCGGGCACTTAAATCCCATTGAAACTGGTTTCACTTTAAGAGATCACCCTGGACGGTTATATTTCAATTTAGTTCCATTCCCCGCCTTGCTTTGGAAAAACACACCAGCATTTTTGCAATGGAGCATTTTATTTATGCATTTTAAATATTTTATAATCTAGAAAAATAAAATAAAGTCAATGGAAACTTCCATCTCTTCCCCTCTGCTCATTGCAATGTATTAAAATGTATGTTTATCCAAGGGGGGGAGGCACGTTTTCCCAGATAATAAGTCATTTTAAATTAAATCTGCAAAAAAGAGAAAGAGCTTATGGTGATTCTTCCCTTTCCCATAAATCGGTAGGGTCCTGCGCTGCAGAAGCGTTGTTAGTCAAGCCCCCAGGAACCATGTACCCATGCCTAAAGAAGAAGGTGGCCAGATGACCTCACCGTGGGTGGGAAAGGTTCATCTGGGGTCTGCGAGATGGAGGCAGACCCATTTCCCAGGGCATGCACCACAGCAAGACACCACGGGCGCCTTCTGACTGCCCCTTGCTGGGGGAATTCAGGCAGCCCCATCTATGCTCAGCCTGAGAGAGGACGAAACATGTCCTACAGGTGCCCCGTCCTCCCCAGTGGTAACTAATGTCCCTGGCTCAGAGGCTGATTTCACCACATCTGCGTTCGTCAGACATGTCCACGCTCCGTCAGCATCACTACGCTGCTGCCTGGGTTGAGGCATCTCTCCAAGCACACGTTGGACCTTTCTCATCATCCTGCCCACCTGGAGTCGAACAGGAGCAAAACCTAGCACCTGAGCAGCCCCCCTGAAAGGGAGGTGGTGGTGGCGGCGGCAGCTCTGCTCTCTGGCCAAGGCACTGCCTGCGGGAAGTCCCAGCGCCATGGGGAGACCGCAGGAACCCGGCGGAGGAGCAGGCTGTCGTGAGACCCAGATCACTGCCCCAGCCTCTGAGCTGCGCAGCAATCCCCCTCTCCTTGGTGGGCTCCTTCCCCGTCTGCTGGCTGAGCTCTCCCAGGACAGGAGGAGAGCACCGTGAACCCAGCGCGGAGCCGGCGGGTGCCGCAGTGCCTTGCGGTCATCTCCCACGTGACAAAAGACAACTGGCTGAGCGTCCCCCGGGACGGGCCATGCAACTGCTGGCAAACGTACGGGACTTTGGGCTCCCACCTTCCCTCCTCCCCATTGCAATGCCCATGCCTGAAGCGAACGAAACCCATACCCTGGCCGAGCGGACGCTCGCTGCTTCCCCCCGCACCACCTCTACCCCCAGGAGCAACGCCCTGCCTCGCCGGGACCCCCTGCCTGGTGAAGGATGGCCCAGACAGGATCCGACCCTTCCCGGGTGGCAATGCGGAGGTCGTACAACGCTCGCACGAGCTGTACAGCTTTGGCCTTTCTGGTGGAAAAACCCTGTAAATGTGGTTTGGCTGGTGGCGAAGCTTTCCTCCTCGGAGCCCCGCGAAGCTGGGGACACGGCAGAGCAGAGCTCTCAGGGCAGGCTGGGAAGGAGGAATTTGATGCTGAGCTAAGTTTACGGGTCCGTTTCAAGGCAGTGTGAAATTTGCCTCCATGATTAAATCTAGCTACGAAAGTGCACGATTAAAAACAACCCAAGGCAAGAAATTTATTTCCTAGCCTTTTGCAAGACATGGGAAGGAAGAGGGCTTGAATTATTGTTTGGGGGGTTGTTTTGCGGGGGGGCAGGGGAGAGGGGAGGCTGGTGAATATTTTACGGTCGTGAATAATGCAGCAGGGGAGGCAGGAAAAAAAATAAGCTCATGTCACTAGGAAAGTGTTGACAGGGCTGCATTTCTTCTGGGTTGCTTATGCGCTGTGGAAGACAAAGTAAGGAGCAACCCCACTTTTTCAGGGAGGCAGGGAGGCCCCAGCGTGTTCGCACCCAAGCAAGCCTGTCCCGTTTCAGCATGTGCACGTGGGAGAGCATCAGGTCCCTCATCCCGCAGCAACCCGGCCACACAGGAGACTCCCTCAGAGGTCAACCATGAAGAGCCTCTTCTCCTCCAGGAGCCAGGACAGGCTGTCCTGCAGGGCCATCCTCCAAGGTGTTGAGACCCTGCGTCTCTGAACCTCATCCCATCGGGGCGTTTCGTCTAGCTGTAGTAAGCAGACGGCTGAGAGCGCTCATTATCGCACCTTTACTGGACTAACTCGCCCCGTTGCTCTCCCTGCTGTTGCCAACTCTGACAATTGCACGGCCGGTCTCATGGCACTTGGTTGCTGACCCTCCCCGGATCAGGACGGCAGCTGAGCAAAACCCCGAGCGTACAGCATCTGCTGCACGTTCGGGCACAGCATTGCCAATACCTGGAGGAAGACTCCAGGCATCACCACACCATAAATGCGAAGTGATCATAATATTTGCCTTGGGACACATACTCTCATTTCGGTCCCTGGAATCGCTGGCTGCAATGCCGTTTTCTCAGCCTCCCATGCCTGCAGAGTTCATCAGGCTTTTCCCGGGACATGGGAAAGCTGCCCTTCAGGGAGCTCCAAGCCTTGGGGTCCCAGTCCTGGCCAGTTTGTGACCAGCACTGTTGGACCTTCAGCTGTCAACACAGCCACGCTTTGCTCATCCCTCAACATACATCCATTGGAAAGCAAAATCCACAGCAGTAGCTCCTGTCTGAATACCACAGGGGCTGCCGGTGCATCCCAGGTGACAGCTGCTGCCCCTGCCCTGTTATACAGAAGACCGTTGTGCCGTAGTATCTGCCTGTTGCAGTCCCATTAAAATACATAATATACGATCGCCTTCTCTAACTCTGCCTTCCTCTGAAAAAATAGGTACTTGGAGCCCGTTCAAAATGTTGCATTTTGGCTACATGTGGAAGGAAAAGGAACATTTTGTGTTTTGCTTTGCTTTCTGATGTCACCAAGAAAAACAGGGAAGGACATGATAAGGGACAGGAAACAGGAGAGGAAAAAGTCCAAAATTAAAATGCAATAACCTTTTTTTTTTAGCTTTCCGACATCAAAGAAAAATGAAAATTTCAATGTAATTAAATATTAACTCTTTTTAACAAAAATCAGTGCTCGATACTCAAAATTTCAAACTAAAACCGACCAGAGCACAGGGAGTTCTTGGTACACCCTGGAGATTCGGCAACAACCGTAACAGAACAAGAGGGTGACACAGAGACCCAGTTGCAGAAACCTCACACGTCTGGCTATTTATTTTTTTTTTAATTAATTGCCCCTCCAGGGCAAACTCCCGTCCTGTCTGACAACCACACCGAGCCCAGGCTGCCCGCGAGCTCTCAGCTGATTTGGAGCATCGCGCCGCGAGCC